AGACAGACAACCATTCACACTCACATTCACACCTATGGGCAATTTAGATTGATCAATTAACTAACCAACTAACTGCATGTCTTTGGGAGTACCTGGGGCTAACCCACGCAAACATGGGGAGAACATGCAAAATCCACACAGAAAGACCTCAGCCTGAACTCAGGACCTTCCTGCTGCGCGGCAACTGTGTTAACCACCGTGCAGTTCATTACGCCAAATTTTAAAAGACCGAGATGTCGACCATGGAAACGGTTATCTCAAGGCTTCAAAACACGACTTCAAACACGGATGGATGTCATTATGGTAGCTGTGGTGTGGTCAATCACGTTAAATGCACTTGGTAGTATTACGGTAGTGTTACATGTCAGATGTTACAATGTAAAACATTTATAATTTGTACTACCCACATCAGCTTTATCGACTGTATGTACCTGATCTAATGTGTTGAGGCTTGGGTTTTCTGTTAACAGCAAAATTTAATTAACACTTCACCTCCAGGGGGCAGCATATCAGTAGATGTTTTCACATAACGCACTGCTATTTAATTTGAGATATTCTTTCTCTCAAGAAGCTTTATGTTATGCTTGAAGCTGCCACTGCATAAAAATCAGCTACCTGGTTAAATGAAGGTAACTTTATTTAACCAAGTAACTCATTGCGCCATCTTGTGGTTGAAATTGGCGTTACCCCAAAGTCCAGCCTAGTTGATCTTCAGTCGATATCTTTGCAACACAGTACACAGATATTTTTGTGTTGAGTCACAGCTGCTGTTTACTCACATTTTTATGATAGTTTTAATTGACTTTGGAGTTTTTTAACAGTTTTAAATTTTACAGAAAGTTCTTTTAAACCTTCAATTATGCACTAAATAAAAGGATATGGAAATATGTTTGGAAACATCTGGTTTTAAGTAATTTGTCTCTTGATTCTGTTTCAGAGGACATAGAGGGAATATTCCTAAAATTATTTGGTTTTTTTTTTAATTAGAAAAAACTTTGCTCATTAACTCATTCATCAGATATTTATTGGATAAAGATATAAAGAGGAAATAAGTCCATGTGTCCCTGTAAACACTGCATTGCTGCGGTTCGCCTCGGGCCGCTCGTTGTTTGAATCGGTGTCCATTGGCTCGCTAAGTCCGGTCGGCCGATGAGTTGACGTCAGCTGATGTGTAAGCGAGCATGTGCGAGTCATTAGTCACTCGACTATGTTCCTCCTGCAGATGAGATGTAATCTAACACTGGAGCTTTCCTCAGGAGGACAGACGTCATGGATAAACACAAAGACTGTCTCGTGCTGTGCTGCGTGTGGATGTGAACATCTTTCTAACAGCAGCGTCGGTTCATCACCAATGTTTTGGTCTCTTGACAACGTGAAACAACAAAAAACAGCAAAACATTTTCACAATAAATGATTTTTTTTTCCAGTTTTTAAAAAATAATCCATCTCTGACTTTGCGAAGAAGAAGAATTTCTTTAAAATTTATAGTATTTATAGGATGAGGAGTTTATGTAGGAGTAGGTAATAATGTTCTTAGACTACACATTTTTCAAATCAGAGCTCATTCTCTTGACAACACTTAGTCAACAGGTAATACTATAGTTTTAAATAGATCTAATTTTCTCTGTTATTTCTTTATTATCAGTTTGATCTGAAGGTCAATCTATTGACCTTGAAGGAGAGGTCAGAGGTCAAATGTTGCATTTTGTTTTTTTAAATGTTGACAAAAAAACAGCACACTTACAAGTTATCAGGCTTTTTGTCTGTTTGCCACCAATAAATCATTAAGTTGACCTTGAAGACTTTACTGGATGTAAGCCGAATTGTAATGGATTGCTAACATAACCCTGCTCGACACCCCCACAAAGTTTTATCAGAATTCATTCAAAACTTTTCCAGTTGTCGTGTTTAACACAGAATGACCCACAAACACTACCAAAAACAAAACCACGCTGGCAGTAAGGATGATGAGAATCATCACGACTCTGCTGTATTATCTCTTAATGCGTCTCTGTGTCTGTGCCCTGCAGCGGACCAAACCGCGGACACTACATCACCATCGTCAAGAGCCACGGCTTCTGGCTGCTGTTTGACGATGACATCGTAGAGGTGAGAAGCGATCTTCTGCATTTTACAGGAAATCAGACGTCTATAAGTAGTTTTCTCTTTTTTTTGTGCTGTTACAGTGGCAGATGCTCACATTAATCATGGCCAATAAAACTGCAGAGCTGGAAATGATCATAATGAGTCTAACAGACCCCCTTAAAAAGACCAGATCGGTTTAAAGGTGGTAAAACAAGTGTGAACTGTTTAAATTGAGCATCAGCGTTTCAGCTCACATCAGACTGAGCACCCACTGAAAGATTAAAATTCCCATCTCCACATAAGCTTCCCATCTAATCCAATACCAGACAGGAATTCCAGGCTCACAGTCTATCCTGGCTCTCCCGAATGTTTTGTCTGGACTTCCTGCAGCGGGCCGACCTGCATACCTGAGCCTGATGAGGAGCTGAAATTGGGTTTAGCGATGGGGATAAATGATGACGGGTGGATAAAAGTGTCCATTAAGGAAAAAAGATGAGAGATGAGAACATACCTGCTTTTATTGGACATTTATCTTTCTCCTTTCTCGCTCATGGTCACCGTGTACCTTCTCTTAATTGAATCATTACTCATCTCAGTCGTAGTATTATAAACTGAGATGACCTGGACTTTTTTTACATTACAAATATGAGAGACTGCTTCTCCGTGTGCTCCAGCCCTCATTCCTCCTTTAATTTTCACCGTCTCTGAGCAGGTGGTGCAGACATAGAGGCTGAACATGTTTTTTTTGTTATTTTGAACTTTTACACAGCAGCTAATGATTTCACTTTTTTTTTTTTTTTTTTTTTTTTTTTCCCCCCTCCGATGAGTTTGGTTGTCATGAAATTGCCGTTCTGCTGATTACCCGTGTGCTTCTGCTGCAAAACCATCTGCTTTCCTCTCTGATGTGGCGACAGCGGAGGGAAAACATGGCTGTCTACATAGTAACAACAGTCTGACATCCTTGGAGCGTGATAGTGCTCAGCCCCCGTTAAATGGTTTCCCAGCTCCACTCAGCACGCTGTCATCTCGGTAGCTGACATGTCAGCATGGAAAAGACGCAGCACTTTAAAAACATTAAATAACATGGTGACACTTTGATGAACCATCAATCCAAACAGGGAGATCTGCCAGCATCTATATCCCTGCCATACAGGGAGTGCAGCTCTGCTAAGTTTGCAGTGTGAGCCGATGGCCTGCTGTAGCTCTTTAGCCACTGGCGGCCTGCCACATCACGCGGCCTAAGCTTCGGCGTGCTGCTGTGTTTCAGCGAAGTAACCTTTGAAGTCTGATGTTTTTCTTTCTTAATGCCAGAGGGAAAGGTATGGCACAGCAATCAAACTATCAGCAGCTCGCTGGCTGTGCAGTCGTCACGATGAGGCCTTCCAGAGCTTGCTGACGTTTAGTCTGTAGTTAGTGGTAAATGAGACACTGATCTGCAGATGTACAGTCTCAGCCAGTGTTAGCGTCCTTCATTAATCCTCAAATAACCTACGTCAGGAGTAGTTATTTTTATTAACAGTGTTATTTACAAGGAAAAGGCTTATTTTGCTGCGTCCCTAGATGGGATAGGCTTTCTGTCGTGTTCGGAGCCTGCTTATGGGGGGGAGAAAAAGAACTGCGTTTGCATTAGAAGTTGGTGAGAATGGTCTCTGCATATGTACTGTATTTTGTTTTTGTATGTAACTGTATTCTGTTACAGTTAGCGTTTAAAGAGGTGGTATTCAGAATACAGTTACTTTGAAATAAAGGGATTACACAGCAGTCTTTTCCTGTTTCATATATTAGGCTATGCCCTTTCAGCAGAAATATTTCTGCTGAGAAATATTTTTTAAAATTATTGTTCAGAAAATGATTTAATATGAAGGCAGTAGGCAGAGTGTTACAGGCATC